AAAGGAGGTGGGCACACCTGCTAACTCTTAAGAAAACTTTGAGAGAGAATCTCAAAATCCACATACAGCTTCATTCACGTGAAGGTATTAACAGAACCACATGTACAATCTCCTGCCCTGGGGGGGGGTAGGTAGGGGTGTGTGGGTGTGTCCTGGGAGAGGGCTGTGTCCTGGGAGAGGGGGTGGGGTGTGTCCTGGAGAGATGTGTGTGTGTATTTAACACAACCCCTGGGTAACAGGCCAAAGATTCAGGACACACACCATCAGCTGCTTCACAAAATTCCACAGATTCAACTCAACAAATGTTTAAACTAAAGTGCCAAGTATTATACGAGCCTTGGATCATACACAACCTCAATAAATGCTATGTTACCAAGAAATCAAATTCAGCATTCTATAAAGAAAGAGAACAAGAAAATAAAACACTTTACACTTTAAAAAATAAGAATCTTGGGATAACCAATCATTTAACAATGTTACAGATACAAAAAAGAAACTTCATAAACTTATTTACACTCATCTCCTTTCCCTACAATTATTTCAATGAGTGTTAAAAAAAAAAAAAAACACCATTTTAGAAATAACCATGAAATTTAGGGAGAGTACTTACTCTCTAGCCCTATATAATATAGAAATTACAAAACCTGAACAACATAGTGACATTCATAAAGCACTATTGATCACTAAAGTACAAATAAGTTTACCTCAAATAAAAGATTTGTGCAAATCTTTCATGATAGCTATTTTTGATACTCACAAGTAAAGCTATGTTTTAAAAGAACTGAAGTGTCACACCGCCATCTTCAAAACTTACCCACTTTTCATGAAGATCAAGTGTTAATACTCTGTAGCCAGTGACAGTTTTACGGTTTAACAACTGAGGCATGCTCAAGCAAGAAAATAAAGAATCATTAGGTGAGCTGTATTTCACACCAACTTGAATGTATGTATGACTATGTGCCACCAGGACACTTGGAACACTTTCATACTCTTTCTGTATCGTCCCCTTATTATCCAGTCTTGCTTCTTTATGTTAAAGGCAGCATGATGAAAATAGAACCGTCCACATTTTACAAGGAATACCACTTGGGGCTAGAGGATAATATCACCTCATTACCAGCAAAAATAGCGTATTTCCTGAATGCTTTTAACCAAGTTAAAAATCCAAACGTAAAGAGATCCAGCATCGATTCGTGGAAAGTGACATGAACTGTAAGACAGAATGGGCATGCTCTCTTAGCTCTGCCAAGAACTGAAAAACCAGAAGCAAGAATCTGAACTCTTTACACATCAGCGTCTCAGTCTGAAAAGAGGACTGACGCTGACTCCTCCCTAATGTTTCTGAAAGGACACAAGACAATTCATGTGAAAGCTCTTCTAAGATTTTTGAAGATAATAAACCCAACATATTAATAGACATTATCAAACCACAGTTAACGAAGGACAAGACAGCATGCACTTTACGTCAAAAACAAGTATAAAATATAAATGTGAAAAAACAAAAATAAAGTTAAACCCTTTGTTCTTAAAAGGAGTGCTGAAGCACACACTGGTGTCACATGTTCATACCATGCTACTCAATGCTGCTGTAATTATCGTAACAAGACACTGCTCGTCAATATTACAGCATAATGCTGAACCACCCCTTCTTGATTTCCACAGAGGAAACCATGTAAGGTTTGATCATTCCCAGAAAAGGAAAGGAAGGAAAATAAGAGCGGGTGAGGCGTCCCTTTTCCACAGCAACCCCAGAAAGTCACACGTAAAAACGTCTGGTCCAAGGTTCACCGGCCACAGCGGGTGTGCTCTGCTCTGTCAACATCCTCTCCCTGTCCCAACTGCAGCTGAAAGGAGGAGACGACTAAATCTAAAAGGCAGAAGAGAGTCAAAAACATAAAAAAAATACCCTGTAACACTGCCCTTGATCACTGACTCAGGTGCCCCCAGGGAGTCCAAAACAGCCTGATTACTGATGTTGAGCAACATAAATTCTGGAATTTTTTTTCCCACTTAAAATTACTCTCTTTCAGGTAAAATTTAAGATAGCAAATCTTAAAAGGAAATTAAATGTTAATGTATCTAACAGACCTAATACTTCACACAAGTTGTTTCAGATAAAGCCACAATTAATTTTTTTCTTATTTTAAGTCAGCTAAAAGCATAGCTGCTTGAGAAGCAGTAACGATTTTCAAACTAAAGTTTCTATCACAGCTCTGCAATCACAAAGAGCCCTGAGTCCAAAGCCTTTCAGTTCTTTGAAGACTTTCATTTTATTTTGCCTAAATAAATATTTAAATATTCAAAGCAACCACAAATGGCTTCCAAAGCCTATTTGAGAATCACCTGGGCCAGGTTATAAACACTAAGATTTAACTGAAAGGTGACCTCAAGAGAATAAAGTTCTCCCTCGACAAGAAGTTCTCAAAAAAGGCAACTGATAAATAGACAAGCTATATAAACAACAGGTAGTGAGCTCAATTTAAATACAGGAAAACATTCAAAAGCCTTCAAAGGCAACTTCCTAGTCTATCCTTAACTCCAACTACACATAGAAACAAAGTGATAAGAAGCAACAAATTTAAAAGTTACATGTAAAATTCTAAAAACAAATGTGGTACAAAACACCCACTCAAAGGGTCTGGTGTAAAACAATTGTCAATTCTCTTCTTCTTGAGGAAAAGAATTACTACATAACACTTTCTTGTTGGGTGTCCTACATTCCAAAGGGGTAATTTCTGGGAATCTCCTCCCAGCTTAATGCAAACCTCCATGACAAGTGAAGTCTTGATAATGTTCCTGTGATAAGCGAGACCACCTTATAACAAAGCCCTTTTGTTCACCAACAACTACACTTCCTTGCAAACCTTCAGGTGGACTCATGATATGGTAAATTTTGTTCTATGGTAAATGAATAGCAACAGAGATGTTTGATATATTAACTTTGGCTTAAAATAAACTCAATTTTGTATAAAATGTGCAGTTAGACTTCTTGATAACAATCAGGCACCTTCCTTCTAGGACTCCTGTATACAGGCTTCATATTCAAGAATAGGCTGGATGCTGTGTGTGGTTTCCCCATTTTATTAGTTACCTTTACAAGTGTGTACACAGAGGGGTATATGTATTTACCCTGTGCATACTACAGCAAAGCAAGTAAGTTTAGAGTGAAGTAACAATGACTGCTTTTCATGAACAACAGAACAAAAAGATTAAAATGAGCACACCAGAAATTTGAGATTTAACCAGAAAGATAATCTGTCAACTTTACATGGAGATAAGTTTAAAAACAAAAAGCAAAAAACAAACAAATAAACCTATATATCATCCACTTAGAACATTTTAGACACACTTGAAGAGACAACCAAGGGGAATCAAAGATTTAAATGCCATGACTAGGACACCTAAAACCCTTCCCATGGACTTTTATCATGACCAGCAATTCGGTCATGAGGAAAATGAGGCATGCGGAGATCTCTCCATGCAAAATATGTTCAGTATGTTCAAAATATGCTTAACACAGACCGTGCTTCTTTATACACACACACACACACACACACAGGCATTTACCATTCTCGTGTTAACAAAGTATCATTCCAAGCATGATTACCATTTAATGCTTCCATAAAATAACAGTATTTTATAAATCACATGAGGCACAAGAGAGGAGAATATAATTGTTGCTCCTACATTAATTAAAATTAAAAAATCACCTATTTTCTAGACCATAAACTTTTAAAGACTTGTCATCCGGTTGGGACATTATCTTCAGGTACTGCAAATGCTATTCTATTACGATACAGTTTTCTTTATGAGGCCAAATTCCATCAGAAATCCACTTAAATTAATTAAACATAAAGGAACATCTCACCAGGAATGCTACCAGTCTTGCATATATCAATGTAGGAGTAAAGAGCTCTTCATTCAGACTGACTAAACTGCTACTAGAACACAGGTGTGGACCAAAAATATTAAATTGGAAAGAATGGCTACAGATGAATGCAATTCCAAGTGTGATTTCCACCACCACCTACAACCTAAGTGGAGAAATAATTTACTACTTTAGTAAATTTGGGAAAGAATGTAACTCCTAATTTAACTATTACACTAACCTTGTTTTAAAATAAAATTCCTTACCACTAAAACATAATTCTTCAAACCAGCAGAGGAAAAGGACATAAAGAACTTATAGCTCAAATATACAGCCAGGACCCATAGCTCCCTAATTTAGCACCAGCCAAGTCTTTAAAAGAGAAACTCTAGCCACCCATGGTCAAGAACTTGATCTAATGCATCAATTCGATCCCAATGAAAAAATTTAAGATCTTTAATCTAGAAATGAAAAAAGGATGCAGAGGATTTTAGATCACACTCAGTGAGAGATGGCAATCACTTAAAGTCCTACTGTGATCCCTATGTATCCCTACTGGAAGACACATTGTCAGTTCTGGCTATAAAGGTTAGAGGGGAGAAACCAAGAGAAAGAAACAGGCAAAACCACTTCTGATGCAAGAAGTACACTTGCAGAGGAGACTGAAATAAAGTCAAGAAGCGCTAAGGAAAAGTATCACTAAAGAGGATCGTGGCTGCCGGGTTCCATCGAGGACTAAGTAGGCAAAGGACAGGACGGAGAGCAGGAGGAGGGCACCGGCCGACCCTGACTGAGCTCAGCGCGGGGGCCGCCGGCCGCGCCCGGTCGGCCGCAGCCCGGGCGCTCCCCAACGTTTCCCGCTGTCCTTTTCCTCTGCTGGTTTCACGGCACACGAAGTTGCCCTGAAGCCTCAAAAGACTGCAAACCCCACGGCCCGAGACCCGCAGGCGGCACCGTCACAGTAGGGCTACAGGGCCCCTCTCAGGAGCGTGAGCACCCGGGGCCCCGCCGCCGCCCCCCGCGCCCGCGGCGGGAAGCGCTCAGCTCGGTCCCAGCCGCCATCCGCGCGAGCGGAGAAGGGCTAACAGAGCTCCGAGGGCGCGCGCGGCGCGGGCGCAGGTGACCGCCTTACCTGCGTAGAAGCGGATGAGGCAGCCGACCTCCGAGTCCAGGCCCTCCTCCTGCACCCTCCACAGCGCCCCGAAGCCCAGCTGGAAGAGGTAGTCGTTCTGGATCTGCAGCGGCTTCTCGTCCGCCTCCAGGCGCCGCGCGGTCTCCCCGTGCAGCTGCACGTACAGGGTGGGCGGCGGGGGCGCCTTCTCCGCGGCCGCCGCGTCCCCGCCCGGCCTCTCCTCCGCCGGCCGATCGCGGGCGGCGCCGCCCGGGCCCTCGACGTCCCTCGGGGCCGTCGGCGGAGGCGGGGAGGCGGCCGGGGAGAGCGGCCAGGCATCCGAAGAGCAGCCGCGCAGGCGGGGCTGGCCCGGGTCAGCCTCGAGCTCCTCGGACGACGACGAGCAGTAGGGGTCCGGCCGGCCCGACGCACCCTCGGCGCCAGGGCTCGGCCTGGGGCTCTCGGGCTCGGGGGCCGGGCCCGCGCCGTCCGGAGCCCGCGGAGCGCCCGGGCTGCAGCCCGCGGGCGCCGGGCCGGAGCGGGAGGCTCGGCGCGGCGGCGGCCCCCCGACGGCGGCCAGCGCGGCCCTCCCGGGCGGCGGCCCCGCGGGGCCCCGGCCTGGCACCTTAAGCACGCCGCCGGCCCTGGGGCCCGCCTGCAGCAGGCGGGCGGCCACCTCGCCGGCCGTGGTGTCCAGTGTGCAGAGCACCGGGCGCAGGCGGCTGGCGGCCGGGTGGCGGTCGAGGACGTGCACGCAGCCGCGCTGGAGCTGGTGCCGCACCCAGTCCCGGTCCGACGGCTGCAGCGGCAGCATCTGCCGGGGCCGCGGGAGCAGCGCCCGGCGGTCCAGGCTCCGCGAGCACGGCGGCGCCGCGGCCGGGCCGGGGGCGGGGAGGCCGGCGGGGCGCGGGGCGGCGGCGGCGGCGGCGGCGGACGCGTTCCTCTTCAGCCGGCCTCTCCTCAGCAGCAGCGAGCTGGCGCCGGGCCCCAGAGCGGCCCCGCCAGCGGCGGGCAGGGGCGCCGGGCCCCGCCGCCGCCTACGAGCCGCGCCTCCCGCCCGGCCCGGCGCCGCGGTCAGCGTGGACCCGGGGCCGCCCGCCGCGGCCCGGCCCTCCGCGCGGATCTCCGCGGCCGCGGGCTCCATGGCGGCGGGGCTTGGCGCGGCCCCGGCTCGGGGGGCGGCGGGCGCACAGCGAGCGGGGGGCGGCGGCGCCGCCAGTGGCGTTCGCGCTGCCGTTCCAGGCGATTATGTGGCGGCTCGGAGCGCTCCGTCGGCGTCTCGGTGTTCCATCCCGCGCGCCCGCCCGGCCGCCACCGCCCCCCGCCCGCCCCTCGCCTCGCGCTGCCGAGCCAGCAGCCGAGCCGGCCTCATTGAATATTAATCGCGCGCTGGTGGAGCCGGGCGGGAGGCCGGCGGGCGGCGCGCCTCATGAATATGCATCGTCCGCGTGACGGCAACCCCGCGGGCGGGCGCGCGGGGCGGGGCCTCGGGGTAAACAAGCGTGACGGCGTCGGGGGGCGGGGCCGTGCGGCCAGGCCCGGGGGCTTCCTGCGCGGGTCCGAGAGGGGAGGCGGCCGGGAGACGGGCGGCGCGCGATGCCGCCTGGGAGCTGTAGTTCCAGGCCGCTGCCGGGAGCCCCCGAGAAGACCGTGGCGAACTACAAGTCCCAGAGATCTTCCAGGGCCGCCCCGCCGTGCGGCCCGCCGCGGGCCCCGGACAGTGGGTCTGGTGCCCTCTGCTGTTGGAGTCGGTGCTCGGGGATGTTCGGTTTATGAACTTGTAGTTACCCGCCCATTCCTGCTCCAAGAGGCTTTCATTTTCCCCGCTGGTTGAGACTGGGCTCGAACAGACTCCAGAAAGCACGAAGGTCCGGGCGCTCGGTCTTCCCCTCACCACAGCTGAACTCGCCCGGAGGCAGTCGTGCCGCGGCAGCTCCTGTGTGAGGAGAAAGGACCGGGCCCTGGTTTCTCCCTGCTCAGCTTGAGGTCCAAAAGGACTGAGGATACAGAAAGCGATGGGAAGCAGAGGAAACGCTGGAACGGAGACACGTGGGACAGAAGATAGGGCCCTGTGTTCTCTCTAAACGTCTTCCCTTGGTTTTTCCTTCAATATTCAGGAAAAAATTATATCCTGCGACCACAATGTTAGTCGTGGCGTAAAAAGTTGTACTTTCTTGTCGATTAAAGCAATATTGTAGGCTGGATTAGAGCAATTTACTATTTAAAAGAATTTAGTAAACCTTTTTAATTGAACTACCATTCCTCCGTATTGTTTCATAAATTGGATTTTTACATCCAAGACTTATGCAGCTGCAAACAGTCCCGGGCCTGTTTAACATCAATAAAGTTACTAAACCTGGGGGTGAATTGCGGGTAGGGGGTTTGAGGAAAGAGGAAGGAGAGAGAAACAAGGAAGAAAAAAGAGAGAAACTGGAACTTGTAGCTGAAATAATAGAAAAATAAGGGCAGAGAAAGTTGTACTTGGGCTATCTACACAGTTTCACCGAAAAGTAGAAGTTACAGGACAAAAAAAAAATTATCTTGATTCTTGAAATTAGATGACTTGAAAATTCTTGAAAGTTGACGACTTTTTATATTTTTCTTTTGAATTATTACCTCTTGGTCTCATGAAACATGTTTATACTATTTCAATTCAATCAACAGTTCAGAGTTACTTTTTTTAAATTAGGGAGAATGCAAATTTTTCCAAGAGACATAAGATACAATTAATTAAACAAGCAATTATAAACATATACCAAGCAGTCAGACACTGTCCTTGCCTTTACAGAGTTTATAGTTTAGAAACAAAGAGGTTCAACACATGAGGGATGTGGAAGAGGGGGAAACACCAGGTGTCATGGGAAGAAATAAAAATAAGGGAACTGACCTAGTCTAAGGAGTCCTACTAGAACTGTACATGGAACCACAGACTGGTTCCAAATAGGAAAAAGAGAACGTCAAGGCTGTATGTTGTCACCCTGCTTATTTAACTTCTATGCAGAGTACATCATGAGAAACGCTGGGCTGGAAGAAGCACAAGCTGGAATCAAGATTGCCGGGAGAAATACCAATAACCTCAGATATGCAGATGACACCACCCTCATGGCAGAAAGTGAAGAGGAACTAAAAAGCCTCTTGATAAAAGTGAAAGAGGAGAGTGAAAAAGTTGGCTTAAAGCTCAACATTCAGAAAACTAAGATCATGCATCTGGTCCCATCACCTCATGGGAAATAGATGGGGAGACAGTGGAAACAGTGTCAGACTTTATGTTTTGGGGCTCCAAAATCACACAGGTGGTGACTGGAGCCATGAAATTAAAAGACGCTTACTCCTTGGAAGGAAAGTTATGACCAACCTAGATAGCGTATTAAAAAGCAGAGACATTGCTTTGCCGACAAAGGTCTGTCTGGTCAAGGCTATGGTTTTTCCAATGGTCGTGTATGGATGTGAGAGTTGGACTGTGAAGAAAGCTGAGTGCCGAAAAATGGATGCTTTTGAACTGTGGTGTTGGAGAAGACTCTTGAGAGTCCCTTGGACTGCAAGGAAATCCAACCAGTCCATCCTAAAGGAGATCAGTCCTTTGTGTTCATTTTGAAGGACTGATGCTGAAGCTGAAACCCCAGTACTTTGGCCACCGCATGCGAAGAGCTGACTCACTGGAAAAGACCCTGATGGTGGGAGGGATTGGGGGCAGGAGGAGAAGGGGACGGCAGAGGATGAGATGGCTGGATGGCATCACCGACTCGATGGGCATGAGTTTGAATAAACTCCGGGAGTTTGTGATGGACAGTGAGGCCTGGCATGCTGCGATTCATGGGGTCGCAAAGAGTCGGACACGACTCAGCGACTGAACTGAACTGAAGGAGTCCAACAATACAGACCTCACTTTGGACTAAATTTTCAGAAACAAATGAAACTGAGTTAAACTTTAAAAACCCTTTAAATTTCATTACTAAAACATGGACTATTTACATTTCTTTATATTTTTTAGTTCCTTCATGGATTCCTATAAACCTCTAACTTTTTGTATATTAAGAAATATATATTAACGCTCACATATCTGCTCTCTAGAGTTATTTTTATGTGGGTAAGGTAATAAACTCAAGGGGAGTTCGTTCCAGTCAGAGACACTGTCACCCCTGGCCCAGAGTCCGCGCGTGTGCTCTCCGGGGTTACCGCGCTGTCCTTAATCATCTCTGGGCCCTGTGCAGTTTCAGAGTCACCACCACTCCGCCCTTCTGTCCTCTAGGAACTGTGTGTACCCCTTGAAGGTATGTGTAACCAAAAACTTCCCCCGGAAAAAATTAAAGAAAAAGCATCAGCCAGAGAATTGAGTATGCAAAGCACTGGAGCAGGGAGAGGTGGGAGAGTCTTCTTATCTCCCTGCCAGACGTGGTGTGAAGGGTTACTAACATTGGGAGGAGATGAGGGCAGTGAATTACAGTCACGTTTCTCAAGGTGGAGAAAAAGGAAGTCCAGTCCAGCCTCAAAGACTGGATCCTTTTTGTTCTTTTGATGGAGGGAGGGAGAATGAAGGATATAAGTTTTATGTAGAGAAACTATTTCAGGCATAGTGTGTATAATCTACAAGACATAATATCCCATTGTATCCAAAAGCATAAAAATCAGAGGGGAGAGCAGAAGGACAAGGGCCCACAGTGTGACCCATCCCTGGATCTGGGGGTCCTCAACCTCCGGGGTCTGATGCCTGGTGATCTAAGGTGGAGCTAGTTAATAATAACATTAGAAATAAAGTGCACAGTAAATGTAATATGCTTGAATCATCCCGAATCTACCCCCGTACCCCCGCCCCAGCTCATGAAAAACTGTCTTCCATGAAACCCATTCCTGGTGCCAAAAAAGTTGGGGACCGCTACCTGGTTCCACTTCCAAACCTTCAATAAAGCGACTGAACTTGTGGGTGAGAGGACAGAGAGAGAAAGAAATAGGATTCATAAAGCGTAGGCGGTCCTCTGAGCGCCAGACCAGCTGGCACCTCAGAGTTATAATAAGGCGGTGATAATGACAATGAAACTTGGAGTTTGCTAATATCACGGAACATCCCCCAGACCATATGAGCCAAGCCACGCTCTCCAATTTCTCTGAATGAGGAAAGGGTTTCAGTGGAGAACAAATGTTTTCCAGACACCCATGAAATCTCAGCTTTTCCTACTTAAAAAGTAGAATGGGGACTAGGACAGTATCTTGAAACCACGGTAACTCAAAAATGCTTCCCAACCCTCTAAAATGTTCCACATGTACAATCTAATACCACAGTTGTAACTAGCCACACTTTCCAAAGAATCATATCTTCCAATGTGAAAAGATAATCCCCCAAAGAAACAACAGATGTAAAAGTTGCAAACCCTGATACCAACTTGTTAAAATATTTTCACAGCTAAATATAGAAAAAGAGAATGTAATTTTCAATTTACTGCTACAGTTTATTTTATGCTGTGTGATTGATAACTGACTTGCTGTGTTTTGCATCGAGGTTAATCCTGTTTGCATCCTTAGATCCAAGATAAAAAGAAAACATCTTTGGAATTTTTTTTCTAATATAAGCACTTGGAATCTTAATGGAGGCATGAATTGATAGAGGATGGTTTCAGTCTGAATTATAAAGTTCTCAGCTATGTTTAGAAATAAACTCAGAAAGATGCAACATACCATGTAATACATTTAGTTAGTACATGATGATCAGGAATTAATTATAGTTTCACATTTTTATATCCTTTGAGCTACTAGTGGTTAGCTGCCCCTAAATTGCTCACTATTTACTCATTCTCTTTTACTACGATAGCAAATAACTACTCAGTGCACTAAATGGGCCCAGGGTGGCCAACCTGAGTTAACACGTTCCCTGCTCACTGGCAGGGTGACACCTTCCAGCTCTCTAAGGCTTTACCCATGCCTCACAGACTTACCATGTGAACTCTATCAAGATTGCCCCTGGCATCTTAGGTAGTCTACTTTATACATACGGCCTGATAACTTTTCAGTCTTTAGTGCACACTTTTTTGTCCCCTAATTCTTAGTCTCTTTCTCATTCCTCACATCTTGCCTCACAGACATAAATGAGATATGTTTCTTGTCACAACAATGAAGTATTAGAGAAAAAAATTGAGGCCATGGAATCCCACCACTTCCGGTAACAATATAAATTACCTGGGACATTCATTCAACAAATATTTATTAAGCTTTTAAATGTAGGCATCATTTATGCCCCAGTCATTAGTACAGACAAAAACACCTTCCCTAAGAAAGTTTATGTATAGGCATTGTCATTTTTTTTAAGCTTTAATTAAAACTGACCTATTTTATCTTCTTCTGTAGAGATGGTTCTTATTTCAGGCAAATGGGATATATGAAAACCTAGGTATATAAACTATACATTAGACTATAGATATTTCTTCCCAAAGTACTCTTTATTCTTTCTCTTATATGACTTAATCAGACAATTGTTTTAAATACTGGGCTCCCATAATATTGATACATTTAAATATATTCATTTTAAAAATTGATGCCCAGCTTTTAGAATCCCATTTTGGATTCTAACAGTGGCCTGATACTTCTTTCAGTGAAGATTCATATCTAACAAGTATCCTTCCTACAACATTCCAAAGCTTTTCCCCCTGAATCTTCCATGACTAAAAATAAAAAAGTATCCTCCAGAGGTGGGGGCTTCCCAGGTGGTTCGGTAGTAAAGAGCCCCCCTGCCAGTGCTGGAGACGTGAGAGGCCAGGTTCGATCCCTGTGTCGGGAAGATCCCCTGGAGAAGGACAGGGCCACCCACTCCAGTGCTCTTGCCTGGAGAATCCCATGGACAGAGGAGCCTGGCGGGCTACAGTTCATGAGGCCACAAAGAGTCGGACACGACTCAATCGACTTAACACGCACACACACATCCTCCAGGTGATTCTCCTATACTTAGAGGCATTAATTATACCCTGAGGAATCAGTGTGGGCATTCTCTTTTTCGCCCCAGAATAGATTATAGGAGACACACTCAGTCCCTAGAAATCTTGCTGTTTCCGCTCTACTCCCCACCCAACCCACTGAGCCGCACTCCTGGGTATGTTTGCTCCTTGCAGCGACCACAGCAAAGCACCATGACCTGGAGGGCTCCGACAGCAGAGACTGACTCTCTTACAGTCCGGAGCTGAGGTCCAAAATCACAGTGTCGGCAGCATCGCGCTCCCCCTGAAGGCCGCGGGTTGGATGAGGGGTTCTTTCTTGCCTGGTCCTGCTTCTGGCAATTGCCAACCTTCCTTATCCTGAAGCTGCGTTACTGCTCTTCTCTCTAGTGTCTAGCAGCGTATTAAAAAGCAGAGACATCACTCTGGCAACAAAGGTCCATCTAGTCAAAGCTATGGTTTCTCCAGTAGTCATGTACGGATGTGAGAGCTGGGCCATAAAGAAGGCTGAGTCCAGAAGAACTGATGCTTTTGAACTGTGGTGTTGGAGAAGACGCTTGAGAGTCCCTTGGACTGCAAGGAGATCAAGCCACTCAATCCTAAAGAAAATCAACCCTGAATATTCATTGGAAGGACTGATGCTGAAGCTCCAATATTTTGGCCACCTGATGAAAAGAACCAACTGATTGGAAAATACCCTGATGCTGGGAAAGATTGAAGGCAGGAGAAGAAGGGGACAACAGAGGACGAGATGGTTGGATGCCATCATCGACTCAATGGACATGAGTTTGAGCAAACTCTGGGAGATGGTGAAGGACAGGGAAACCTGGCGTGTTGCAGTCCATGGGTCCGCGAAGAGTCAGACATGACTGAGTGATTGAACGGCAACAAAAATAATATGTGAGGTTGGAAGCCAAAAAGTCCTCATTCTGGTCCTGGTTCTATACTAACTAGTTAACCAGGAACTTGGAAGGCATTTGGCCTCAAGAAGGCTTCAGTTACTGATTTATGAGATGAAGGAGTTGAACAAGATAGCATCTCTAAAAATTTCTACCAGCTCAAGAAATTTCTGGTTTTTGGCTGAAGGCAAAATTGTCTAAATTGGAATATTGGCAAATGTTTTTGTTAGTCACAAAGCAGAGGCTTTCACATTTAGATGACATTAATTTGAAATAAAGAGGCTCTTAAAGCTGATTCTTGCCATTTAAAAGAATTTCTAATGTAGTTAAAATAACAGCAGGTTTATTTTATTTTGACATTTAAGGAAACTGCTGGGTTTTCAGTCCTTTAGAATATGAATTTGTCAGGAGTAGGAGCCAATCTATGACAATCAGATCCACAGTCTCAGACTTCCAAACTCCAGGGTCATTACCACTTTTCCCTTTTATGGTCACGAGTGAGTAGAAATCTCATTAGCACAAAGTCAGGTCAGCTCACAGGAGCGAGAACGTCAGCCCGCTGAGCTCTCCGTCAGCCAGGAGAACACAGGGGAGCTGATAGCAGCCACGGTTCCTGGTGCCACAGCCGGGATCAGCTCAAAGGTCCACCAACAGCAAAAGAGATGGTAAGCGCCAGCATGGTCCCGCGCTGAAACACCAGCAGAGTAGCAACGGCGACCGAATCACCGCAGCGCCGGGCAACGCGGACGAGCCGCAGCAGCGCGATGATCTCGGGCAGCCAGAGGCGGCGGGGCGCGCCAGAGGGCCACGTTTGCGTCAAGGTCAGAAACAGCCCCACTAAACTGCGCGGTTTAGGGTGCGATTTAGATGGCAAAACTGAAATGAAAGGAAAAGGAGGTAAATAACCCACAGGCCAACGAGGTGGAAGTGAGTGGTTTGTGGCTGGAAATAGGGCACGTGGCGGGGGGCGCGCATCTGGGACCCTGACAGTGTCCTGTGTATTGACACAGGCGGTGGGCACTGAGTCTCTGTTTTAAAAAATGTGTTCGGCCATACATTTGTGCTGTATACACTTTCCTGTTTTTTTTATACTTCAAAACAAAGGTTTTTGTTTTTTTAAGATCAACCATATGGTTTTGCTACAATCTGAATTTCTATATTTTGTTCATAATTAAAAGTTTAAAATTAAGCTTCCCACCACTTAATTCATTAAAATTTAATTTATAATTTAAAACAATTGAAAAATTAAAAATCTAAAGTAATTTAAGAGAACTTTAAATATTACTTAAGAGTAATCAGTTCATTATAGAAAGTTTGGTCAATATGGAAAACTTTGTATAAAGATAAAAAGTTGAGCAAAAAAAAAAAAAAAACCCCAGTGACCCAGAGTTAGCTCCACAAATTTCCTTTAGATTTTTTCTGTGTACTTTAATGGAGTAGAGATCATAATGATGTTACAATGTCCTATCCCACTTTTCTCACTGAAAACTACGCTATAAACATGAAAAAATTTACTATAAACATAATATAAATTTCTAGATAAAAATGCATCATTTTGAAGAGCAATGATTTACTTAAGCACTCCATAAAGAGTGAATCAGGTGGGACACTGTGCTGGGCTTCAGTACTTTTATGCTTTTTTTTTTTTTAACTATTCTACTTGTGGAAATAAAAAGATAGTAATAGTGGAGTCATCTTTCGTTATCTCTCTGTCCTTCAACCACAATTTAGCAACATTTAAATCAGGCAGCATGTGATGTCCTTTTTAGATGATCTTGTGAGGAAGTGGAAATGAGGGAACACTTATCAAGGAAACATTTACCAAACATGCACCAGGTGACATGAGGAAACATCATATAACGTGTCAACGATGGGGTGGCCAGGTTTCGCAAATAGAATACAGGACACCCAGTAATTGCAATATTTGGACGTATGTATATGAAAAAATGTCACTGCCTGAGATTTGAATTTAACCTGCTGCTCTGCATTGTAGCTGGCAGCCCCATGCCATATCACTATCAAGCCTATCACGTATGTTTTCTAATGTGATCCCTTTAACCCCTTTAAGACTTATATATGATTCTCATTGTAGAGAAGAGCTCAGAAATATTCAGCATCTTTTCTAGGGTCACATGGCTAGAGAGGAAGGAGAAAGCTGGGGTGAATATATGCAGACGACTCAAAAACTGGCAGCAAAACCTGGAAGAGGAGTTGAAAGGAATTCACTTTCCAACTTTGTCCATGAGTCTTAATTTCTACATTTTCCCTGTAAGATTAAAGTTCTGGGCAAAAGCACATGGACCGGAGTCTGTGTCTCCTTGTTTGAGCCCCATGTGAGCTTGTAGATCTAGACTTAATCTGAGTTGTATTTATTGACTCTAGGCCATACGCTGATATGATCCGAATTGTGATGGTCCAGTTACACAGATGAACTCATTCAAGAAAGTCTGACCGAGCATCCGCTACAAGCCAGCTCTTTGTAAGTGTGAGGAATACAGTGATAGCCGCATCATCCATAAACCTTCCTCTTGGAGCTACAGTTTTAGAAGTACCCACCTGCCCACCAGCATTGCTCTTATAAAAGTAGATGCCCTGGATTCTTCATCAGGAATCAGCTTCTCAAACTGGAGTTTCTTCCCTATTTTAGAATCACATAACCTGGGAGTGGAAAGAAGGATGGGGGTAGTGAAGGCAGGAGGGAAGGAAGAAAGAAAGGGGCTGACTATTCCTTTAGTGTAGTATATACAATTTTTAGCATTAAAAAATAGGAAAAACTCAAAATCTGACAATAGCTATTTTTTGCCCCTGTAATATTTTGAAGAATGAACATTTTCCCATTACACCTTTCTGTATTCTGAAGGTTGATACTAATATTAACATACATTTTCTAGAATTGTGACCTACTTTGCTTCTGGTACTTAAAAGTATAAGAACCTCATTGTGAAACTGATGCATATTAGATTTATACCAGGCAAAGGGCACTGAAGGATAATAGAGTGGGAAAGCTCATATTTATATTTTCCCTACTCAAATATAAGTATTATAGTCAAGGTTAACTGATGAGATTTATAGTGAATATCAATACCAAAAAAAGTAAGGAAAAAACAAGCTTTGGTTCATGGATTTAGATTTTTTTTTTAATTGGAGACTCATAGTCCACAACTGAAAGACACAGGAAGCTGTGTAGAATTTCCACAATAAATGTTAATTAATCTATAGTATTTTTTTGTATTTGCAGTCTTTTGTTGTTTAGTCACTAAGTTGTGTCTGACTGGCATGGGACCCCATAGACTGTAGCCCACCAGGCTCCTCTATCCATGGGATTTCCCAGTCAAGAATACTGGAGTGGGTTGCCATTTCCTTTTCCAGGGATCTTCTCAACCCAAGGATGAACCCGCATCGCCTGCATTGGCAGGCATGTTCTTTACCACTCAGCCATCAGGAAGCCCATCTGTAGTCTACTTCAGTTGTATTTTAAATTAATTATAGTTGCAAAATGATCATAATTTTTATGTAGAACTGAACACAAACAACTTTGATTTTTTTTTTAATATTGTGCAGGGTGGGTGAGATAGGCACTTTCAAATGATAAAATCTTAAGCCCATTACAAAAAAAAAAAAAAGGAAGGAAAGAAAAACTGATAAAACTCTAATCATTGTACTTTTAGATACATAAGACAGCTTGTGTTAATATACATCTATAGGTCTATTAAATTACTGATTTTTTCCCAGATTAAAAGTCATTTTCTAATCCAAACTTTTTTTCAGGTTGGACTATAAACAAAGACTAGGATGTGTTGCAAAAACAATGTCTTGTATCTTTCTGCCACATTCCTGTTGACAAAGTATTTTTGTGTATGAACATCACTTCGCCCAATTCTCCCAGGAAGTCTGGGAGCTAGACACATGACAAACATCATCAGGATACAGGCTGCTCTGGTTAGGGGCTCCCACTCAAAGAATTTGAGGACAAAATCTCCAAAATGAAAAACTTACTGAAAGTAGAATATGTAGAAACAGCCCACACTAAGATGTACCTATATTGCCACAGAGACCTGGAGGGTGTCCAAGTTTGATGATAGTGTATGGCAACCTTGGCACTTGTGTAGTGATATAACTGTCTGAAAGAAGGATGTTTTAGGAGAAGGGCTGTTATAATCTGAAGGGAGCCCAAGAGTAACAATTGACCCATATTGTCTGGGAAAAAGATGTCCTCAACAATGAGGGTAAGCACACTTTGATCTGGGGCATCAGTAAAGATCCTCAAGTCGCGGACTTCCCTAGTGGTCCAGTGGTCCAGAATCTGCCTGGCAACGCATGGGATGTGGGTTCAATCCCTGGTCAGGGAACTGAGGTCCCACATGCTGTGGAGCAGCTAAGCCCAGGCACCTAGAGTCCTGGAGCCGCAGCAAAAGATCCCACGTGACCTCACTAAGGCCTGACACAGCCAAATAAATACATAAATGTTTTTAAAAATATATTCAAATCAACCTAGAAGGGTGGGCTGGCAGGGAAAGAAGGCTTCCTGGAAGAGGTGAGGCTAAGCGGGTCCTGGGGGACAAGACGTCAGGCGCGTCGAGGGTCCCAGCAGAGCACACAGCTGACTTACTCTGTGGTTCACCGCTCTGGATCTCGCCTTCTCCTCCAGAGAAGTCTGTGGTCCCTTGACCCGGTTTTCCATGCTGGGTGACCAATGCACCCGTGAGAAAGGGGGAATCACCCTGCTTGTGGCCCACATAAAGTTCAGTTCCTTGTGGCTTCTCAGCCAGAAAAAATCACACAAGGCACTGCAGTGCACATTTACCCATTAGCAGGAAGATAGGCCTTCATGTCTTCTCTTTGCAGCTTGCTAACACAGAAGTGCCACATTTGTCTGAGGCCCGTGTCAAAGAGTGAGGAACCTCCAGTCATTCAAAGACAGCACAAAACCAGGCTGGGTGGCGTGGGTGAGCGAGAAGAGCAGGCGGTCCCCACTGGATGTGTGCAGCACGACCCAGCGGGACCGCAGACTTGTCTTCACCCCAGAAGCCGGTTTCAGCACCATAAACCTGGACAGTGACCAGGAAAAGGCCGAGGAGCGACGGCAAAGGATGAACATGTGGAAGAAACCGGTGAGAAAAAGCGTTCAGAAGTCATCTTATACACAGCCTCGATTAAGAACAGGACCAGTTTCTGGCTAGAGAAAGCAGACCGAAATACTCACTGAACTCTGGTCTCCCAAGAAATCTTACAGAAGTGGTAGTGGACGTCAAAGTGATAAAGAGACAGAGGAAGGAAGGGCGGGGGCGGCGGATGGTGGTGAGGAAAGCAGGGCAGGTCTGGCAGCTGCAGACCTGAGGGGGCGCTGGCCGGGCCGGCAGGCGGAGGGGAGGCCTGAGACGGTGGAAGGGAGGCCGGGGGGAGCCTCTGGCGCGGGGCGGAACGCCTAAGACACACCTGAGGGGGCGCTGGCCGGGCCGGCAGGCGGAGGGGAGGCCTGAGACGGTGGAAGGGAGGCCGGGGGGAGCCTCTGGCGCGGGGCGGAACGCCTAAGACACACCTGAGGGGGCGCTGGCCGGGCCGGCAGGCGGAGGGGAGGCCTGAGACGGTGGAAGGGAGGCCGGGGGGAGCCTCTGGCGCGGGGTGGAACGCCTAAGACACACCTGAGGGGGCGCTGGCCGGGCCGGCAGGCGGAGGGGAGGCCTGAGACGGTGGAAGGGAGGCCGGGGGGAGCCTCTGGCGCGGGGCGGAACGCCTAAGACACACCTGAGGGGGCGCTGGCCGGGCCGGCAGGCGGAGGGGAGGCCTGAGACGGTGGAAGGGAGGCCGGGGGGAGCCTCTG